TATACATGACCCAGTCCAGATATCGGCACTGATGCAGGCACTGCGGAATCATGGCATCAACGAACTCTACACCAAAAGACTGAAAAATATCTGCGGCAGATCCACAGCCGCCATAGTTCTCCATAAAGAAAGCGACATAATGTCAATAATGAAGGGTGTAAGGCAGGGAGACACGATATCTCCAATGCTATACACCGCGTGTTTACGGGAAGTTTTCAGGGCCCTAGATTGAGAAGAGCTAGGAATAAGAGGTAATTGAGAGTATCTTAGTACCCTGCAATTCGCTAATGACATTGCCCCGATGAGTACCTCAGGGGACAAATTACAGCTCATGATTCCTGAACAGGACACGGAAAGCAGAAGAGTAGGTCTGAAACTGCCAAAGTATCCTTTTAATTGCAGAAGTCCTGTTAAGTGGGCTAGTTGGTGACCACTTCTTTTTGTCAATCCCTGCTGTACGGCCCATATTAGTTTTCACGCTGTTTGTTGCGACGTGTATATATATATATATATATATATATATATATATATATATATATATATATATATATATATTTATTTATTTATTTATTTATTTATTTATTTGTTGCTTCACCTCGTGATTGGATATAGCACACTACAAATGTACCATCATGTCACGGGGTCATGCCGCCGTCGAAGAGATCAGACTTAGGTCAAGATCAAAGTGTTTATTTGACCGAACTTGTGGCTGGTCAACAGAAAGTCAGATTACAGTGATACAGACTACAAGAGCGGCGAGCAGAGCGTCGGCCGCCGATCAGCTGACAAGCGGCGAAGGGCGTCGGCATTTATGCATGTGCCTTCGAATATGCCATTTTGAGAATATTATTCACCATGTTATCATTGCCACTCACTTCAGTCTGTCGCTAGAGACCTCCATCTGTACATTCTTTCGATGTACGTCTTTGTTTGTTTTATTCGAAATAAATGATTCCGATTCTGTCCTTATTACTCGTCGTCGTGCAAGCTCCGGAATAATATGGAGTGTCTGCGTCTTGCGCACAATCGTAACAGAATGGTCTACAGTAATCACAGACCTTCTAGAACTATGAGGCGCAGTTCGCGCTGAGCATTCCGGACGGGCTTTTGTGGGCGAAAACTATACGTCACAAAGTTAAAATAAGGAACGTGCGTGACAGTATCATCAGTCACATTAAAACGCGGAAACCGAGAATACTCCAGGGCTCGTTATTGATCGTCCTTTTTTATTTCAGTTCGACGTGCTATCTTAAATAAAGTTCTGTTTTCGTCATGATACGGGCGACCACGACTATACGACTGTCTTTCTAAATCACGCCATGTATCCCCCAATTTTCACCATTATTATTTTGTTTTGCTCTTGAACACACGCGAGCTGACCCAATGCCATCTAGGTTGCACTGACTGATCCCAATAAATATGGACGCAGCTACAACGATAACCACGACAGTTCATCTTCTGCACGACTTGATCAGCGCTGATAAGCGCACTTATTTGAGACAGCACCGCGCTGAAACTCGGCTTATTCTTTTTGTACCTTGGATCATATATGGACATGGTACTAATAATTATTTCTTTTCTTATCGTTACGCTCTTGTTTTCTCTTGTGATTTTTTAACATTGACATTACGATGATGTAACAGCCGGCTCTAACGTCGCCTACCTTTACGTTCCCAGATTATATACATGCAATACCGGCGACGCGTGGGTAAATTAATTAACTTTAATGGTTAAGTTGTAGTTTCCGAATATGGAAATATCGTAGGTGACTCTTCTGCTTCCCCTCACAGTGTTGGCTGTACAACAATATGGCTACCTCGGTTATAGTTTGGCCGTTGGCACACTTTGCCGGCTACAATGGTGTTACGCAATTCGGTGGCGAAACCAAGTCGATGCGTTTTGTAAGGAGGAAGAGCTATCGTTTTGGGAAGGCGCCCGTTACGTGGCATTACTTACGAGATTGGAAAAAGAAGTAATGAATGAAGGAATAAAGAATGAACGAACCAATCAGTCAGTGAGTGAAGGAAAAGATTGATTGATTTGTGGGGTTTAACGTCCCAAAACCTCAATTGATTATGAGAGACGCCGTGGTGGAGGGCTCCGGAAATTTCGACCACCTGGGGTTCTTTAACGTGCACCCAAATCTGAGCACACGGGCCTACAACATTTCCGCCTCCATCGGAAATGCAGCCGCCGCAGCCGGGATTCGATCCCGCGACCTGCGGGTCAGCAGCCGAGTACCTTAGCCACTAGACCACCGCGGCGGGGCGAGTGAAGGAAAAGAAGCGGGGAATGAACTGGAGAATGACGGACATAGTCAATAATGAGAGGCGATAGATAAATGGAACGGCTGAATCAATCAACCAATCAACCAATCAATGCACGAAGGAATGAAATGGACGAATAAATGAAAGAATCAGCCAGTCAAAAGGACGAAAAACGAAATATATAAATGGCACGACCCGACTATCAAATGTGATAGTCCAGTCGTTCAGTGTGTGCTACATTTTTCCTTGGTTTTCTATCCCTTGTGCACCTTACAGAAAGAAAGAAAGAAAGAAAAAAGAAAGAAAGAAGAAAGAAAGAAAGAAAGAAAGAAAGAAAGAAAGAAAGAAAGAAAGAGAGAAAGACCATCGGTGCTTTAACATGGACGTGACTTGAATATCATCCATGACTAAAAGAGAAAGACGGCTACGGTCTACGGGTGTCATAATTCTTCGCGTTCACAAAAAGCTACATGGAGAGCTAGAGCAATAAATATTCAACGTCAGCACAGACACGAAGACTCGCACGTAAGATTGTAGTTCTGAGCGTTTCGTCACTTGCCTTTTGTGGACCCACGTTGCGTCTTCTTTTTTTTTTTTCCGGGTCGTTTTACGAGCCAATATCATGATGCGATCACGAAGCAGGCCACAGTAAGCGATTATGAATTAATTTAGAAGTATGCTACTAAATTTAAGACCGCCCGAATGTGGCCGCCTTGCGAGTAATCGAACCCGCTACCTTTAGTAGGATGAGCTGGACCGACAGCTCCTGAGTCTGGACTATGAAAGATTGCTTCTTGCCATCCATTTTTCCATTTTTCGGAGCACAGTTATGCACACAAAGTGCAATATGGTCCTCTAACGAGAATTTGTGAAACAAAAGAAGTATATAAAATGCAAAGTGTCATAACTTAATTAGCTTAGTTACTAAATGACCTACCAATTTATTTGATAAATTAGCTTGATCTCTTTTCGCTGATAACATTGCTACAGCACAGAGAAAACGCTGTAATATTGTCTATAGGGCTATTGCCTTGTTTTTCATGCTAAAATAGGAATCTTAAGGCAGCAATATTCAACTTAATTAGAACTATAATTGATTATAATAATTGGTTGCCTGATTTTTCAAAGCTGTGGACTCGCTGCGCGTTATTATCTAAGGCATAAAAATATAGACTGTGCATTGTTTTATGAGCTCAAACACGAAGTTCGGGGTATCTAAACAGCTTAGCTTATAAGTACTGGTAGCTCGCTACAATTCGTAGGTACTACAGTTCCCTAAACCTACAGATTACAGTTCAGAGATTGCAGTTTAGGAGAGCAGTCAATCCCTTGTATCATCGAGGCTACTTGGTCATAAAGAGATAAACGTGCGCTATTCATGCCACCATCTGCTTATCGCAGTCTTTTGCCGAGTGCCACTGATTCTTTGAAGGGATTTTTACGTTGACGCTTAAAAATGGAAGTTAAGCTGAAATGACAATTAACCTGTCGCCAAACTTCAATAAATTTTTAAAATCAGTCAACGAAAAAAAAAACATAATGTGATTACGAAACGCCGGGCCTAAAAAAATTTGCACTATTACTCAACAGTTCTCTCTTTTTTTACATTATACGAAGTCATCGTTAAGCGCGCAATAAATATTACACGCACAGCAAGAATACCGATACTACTTGCAATGTAGATGCGTAAGTTTGTGTGAAATGACTTTTTGTGGGCACAAGAGATGGGCAATGAATTTTTGAAGTATCCTGGCAGTAAAGTCCTGTGTTCAAAGTGTAGTTCCCTTTATTATTTATATACATTTAATGCATTCAACCGCCAAGATGTCCGGAAATGGTGTAGACCCGTGTGCTCAGATTTGGGTGCACGTTAAAGAACCCCAGGTGGTCGAAATTTCCGGAGCCCTCCACTACGGCGTCTCTCATAATCATATGGTGGTTTTGGGACGATAAACCCCACAAATCAATCAATCAATCAGCCAAGATGTCTCGTTTTGATGTTGTTTTCTTGTGCCTCTTCATAAATAGCAGTTAACGACATAAAACTTTCAACAGACATACAAAAAACAGTGCTAATTATACTACTATTAATTAGCAAGATCATTCAACGGCATCTGATACACACACTGCTTATACGGCATTCAATGCGGTATAGTGACCTTTCACAAGAATCACTGCAACATCCACGGTCCGAATTTACAATACCGATATATATGTACTTTTTCCCTTACGGATATTATAGTAACACTGGGTAGATTAAACCTAATGCCTGTACTAAGATCATTTCTTCGCTGAGGTACCCAGAGAGCATTTAGTCGCAGCATATGTTCTGTATGATCACCAAAATATCATCGATGTCCGGGAATGGCACTTTCTAAATTCATAAACCCACCGACTTCGCGTTAGTGTTGCTCCGAAATAGTTGAGCCAGAGTCCTATCTCACTGCATAGTTTAGAAAGTTAAACGGTACGGCAACCAAACTCGTTACATCATTTCCGTCATGCAGCCAGCGTGGAATATGCCGCGTGGACGACATACAAGCGCTGCGGTGAAGACAGCTTGTCCGGTTTCAAGACACTGGGTCTCTGGCGGGAATAAATAGAAGCTACTTCATGGATAGAGAGGCGCAAGACTACGAATTTCTCTTGTCAGCAACACGTGGACTGTCTCGCAGACCGGGACACTTGCACAGACACAAAGCACCGTTAACCGAGTTGAATGAAGTCACTTACTTGGTGATCATGCATCCCAGTTCGGCGTAGCAGTAAGCACCGATCATGGAAAAGATGCCGCACACAACCCATACTATGAGAGACGCTCCGACGCTACCGGTGTTGGCCAGGACTCCGCGCGGCGATACGAAGATACCCGAACCGATGATGCTGCCGACGATGACAGTGATACCATTGAGCAAACTCATCTTGGGTTTCAGGCAAACCACATCGGTATCGCCGCCCTTGGTGGGCGAGCCGGGCTTGGTCTGCTGCTCGTTCTGCGGCACCTCCGAATACTGCGTAGCATCGGCCATGTTTCCTCCCTTTATATTCACACCTCCGGGAATGTTAAAATGCCGTTCCGACTGTCGCGCAAAATTACCCTATCTTCTCAATCACATCAGGAGACGCGCCTTAAATGTCACAGTTATGCCGGTGTTCACGGTTATATTGTCGTCTGCTGCCAGTCCAAGCTTCCGTCGTCTGGTCTTCTTTCCTGGCAGCGTCGTGTAGCGCCGGTTTCAGTGTCTCTTTGATGAAACCCCGAGCCCTGTGTTACCGGAGTTTCGGCGCGGCGTGCGATGAACCCCCCGACTGCAAACCTACCCGCACCGTGCCCACGTCGCGAATGAACGTTGTGCTGCGGCGGCAGAGGCGCCGGGCGAAGCAGCGCACGGCGAAGCACCGGCTGCCGCAAGCTGAGAGGAGGTGCGTTTCTCTCTCTCTCATGTTCTCTTTCTCCTCTGTTAGACAAAAAAGAGAGGGAGAAGGAAAATAGGAGAGCGAACTGAAAGAGGGAGTCAGTTTGCACCGCTAGGGTGCGAAAACCGGCCGCTCCAAGCTGTCCCCCATTCGCGATACCGCAGCGTGGCGCTGTTGTCGGAGGCACTGCCAGCTTTCTTCTTGGCAATGCACCCGCGTGCGCGTGGTACGATGCAGTAGATAGAAACATTCAATCAATAAATCGATCAATCAAGATAAATTTATTTTTCAGTAAAAAGAATAAAAACACAAAGGATATGTGGACTGATAGCCTTAAGTGGCCAGTGACCGGTCCAATACAACGTGTATAGAGAATGTACAGGTCAGCTTTGAAGCAAAAAATAATAATAAAACAAAATTATATAAGTACAGGCAATACACGCAAACATTTTCTATTGCGAACATTCGACCTTATTCGTATATTTCTGCTGGCATACGCCACTTGGCACGGCAAGGATTTTGTGACACCTTAGATGCTGATATAAGCGCGGGATTTTCATCCTTAAAATGATGCATTCTAAGAGCCACTTTTAATCATACTTGTACCATTGCATGGAACACCGCTTTGAAGCCTTAAAACAGGCTCGCACGGTGATGTGTTTTTTTTTTTTGAAGCTGCATGGTTTAAATAAAACAAAAAGGTAAAATAGCTACATTGTCAGTGTACTACAAAATATCATTTAAGAGCTTTTTTTTTTTCAAAGCCAGTTTCTTGAACCACAAAGGAGGTGCCCCTTCAGCCAAGTGCTCTGGGACCTCCTTCTGTATGTTTATGTAAGTATGTATGTTTTGTACGAAAGTAAAAATAAATAAACTGAAACTGAAAGTTCTACTGGTGTTCCTGGTGTAACTTTTTGATGGCGGCACATACACAGTGCACTTGATTCTTTTTGCGTATGAGAGTGCACAAGGCACATTTTAGTCTTTTTTCTGCAGATTTTGTGAGAGACCACAGTACCTGATGCCTCACTCGATGCAAGTGGTTCAGTAGCAATTTTGTTACTCTCTTACAGAAGGAGCATTTCTGAGCTGCATGTGATGTCCCTAAAGAACAAAAAAGATAGGAACGTGCACACATGCTAGCAATGTAACCATTTCAATAATCACAGGCGTTCGAGATATCTGATGAGAGAATTGAAAGAACCTTTTTTGGGTCGTGAAGCATCACATCGCGTTCGACACAGAGCTAGAAGAGCCATTGCATGTTCTAGTAAACAAGTGATCCCCATAAAATTTGGTCACATCTGATGGGTCTTGTCCTTCTTAATGTCACAACACACATATAGGCTATCTGAGTGCTTGAAGAAATGCTGGACCTATTTTTCAGATTGAATTTTATGCTTACTATGTAGTTAGCCAGCCAGAAAAAGTTTGCAAGTAACTGAAATGGTGTTTCTGTGTACCTCACACACGGCAATCTCGTGAAAGCAAAAACAAAACAGTTGGTGTTTGGCCACTGAGAAACTGGGCAGTATGTTATGACACAGAGCTTTGGTTCTGAAATGTCTGTAGTGACTAATGCGCAGGTGGTAATTGCAGCTTATAAATAAAATGTTCCGCTGGGTCGTTGCCTCCACTTGGAAGATCCACAGTGTACATCGAGTCAGACACGCACTCCTCCAACGTGATGGGCAGTTCGTGACACCTCTTTTCGAGTACAAAGTTAGATGCAGAAGCATTTCGTCTCTTTTGTTCTTTAGGTAAGATTTTTGAAATTTACTTAGGCGGGCTTGGGAGTGTGGTGGGTATTGCACCATTTCCTAAGTTTGGCATATCGCGCTTCATTCAGACTGCCTGACCTTTTACAATATGCAGAAATTTTCGCAGAATGAATCTAAAAGCTAAATAAGAAATAATGTTTGCGCAAATACTTGTGTTAGTCTGAAAACAATTATCGAGTGTTTAAAAGCACCACATTGTGGGGTGACTTCACTGGCATGCTGCAGATACGTTTCACGCAAGTACAACAAAAGTATTTGCTCCACTTAAATAAGATCAATATATTTACGTAGCGTTGAAATGTTTTTTTAGCAGACGACGAAATTCTTCTGGAGAGCTTTGTCGACCCTTGGTATGGCCCGCTCCTGTATTGAAAACCTGTCTTGGCGTGCCAGCGAATAATAAAGGGACACCTTTACCGCGCATGATCTCAGTCCTGAGTTGCACACTGGCACGTCTTCAGCGTTTCTTTTTTTTTCCTTGGTTGACGCCATTTAGTACTGTAAGGGCACACAAAAGAAATTCAGCGAACCAATTGGAACGTCGCAGATGTTGTGAAGCCCTTGAAGAAAGCGATCAAAATTTGGCTACACCGGCGCACGCTATGTATACACTGGAAAAAGTGCGAACAGCTGCCGTCTGCGCCAGGCTAGCGGGCAGTTGCTCCGATTGTCGTGCCAAATATTAACCTAGCGGAGATATCGCGTATCGCGGCAATCCTAGGCAGAGAAAATACAGCTCACTTTTTCCCTAGCGCCGCCCTTAGGCGCGTTTTCGGTGGAGCCGACAGCTGCCGCCACTCCGTGGCTGGCCCCATCTGTGGTGGAGAGCATGGAGGAGGAGGACAACCGTCTATGAGCAGAGCACGGCACCGATTCAATGCGTAGCAGTGAAGCCATCCTTCTGTTGGCAGTAATATGGAATGTTCTTTACCCTTGTAATTGGTTGGCTGGTTAACCGGTAACAACTGTAATTGTTGGTAACAACTTTATTGACCATGTAATAAGCTTCCAAAGTTAAAATAATAAGACAACCAAATCATACGACAAAATGATGAACAATGTTTTCTAGAGGCATCTTGTATTATAACTCAGTATCTCATTTAGTGAAACCATTTCAATCTCTTGGAAAAAAAAACAAAAAAACTTTAGGGCTGCTTTTGTTTCGTTTGTGAGCAACTGACTCATGTTCAAGTGTGTCAGCAATGATAAATGTATTATAGGGCAGCGACACCAGATGAGTTGTTTAAGTGACTTATTGGTGTGTTTTTTTTTTGTTTTTTCATGAAGAGATTTGCTCAAAAGCTCTGGGATCACTCAACGCCTTGAACATCGGCTTCATGATGATCATTACAGCTTCAGGAATGCTGTTTTTGTGGCAGTAAGTGTCATGACTTCCTTGAATAATGCTGTGGTTTATACCACAAAGATGGTTCCTTCGGGCCAAGTCCGTAGTTTGCATTTGGTAGTTTATGGAAGTATAGGGTGCAGAGTTCATAAACTAACCTTCGGTTAACTTCAAATAGTTGACAGCATTGTACTGCAATAATTGGCGCTTATGAAGGATGCGAAACCACTCCGCCTGTCGTAGCTTCGTTAAAATCACATCATGGCATAGAACTATTACAAATTCGAAGAAAAAAAAGTCGGCTACAGTTTCTTTCAGACATAGTAAACCACGGGCTATCCTTAGACACCGCAGCATACGTATCCCCCTTGTTAAGCAGACCCCCTCGGCACCACTATCCTCATTCCCTAACGCCAATCTTCGCAAGGACTGATACTTTTCTGTACTCCTTCTTCCCACAAACAATAGATGATTGGAGTAAACTAACCAAAACATTTCCTCAACACCCTTGACCATTTGTGTAAATACTATTCTTCCATGACTTCCTTAGAACTGTATTATCACCTTGTTGTTCAATTGTTACCTTTTTTTAAACTCATAACCCCTCTGTGTTCTATGCAAATAAATTGTGTAAAAAAACGCTTTGCAGCCTTGTTTCATTCTGTTATTCAGTGTGTTTCATGTATGCTCGCCCTACTTGGATTTTTGTCCGCAGTAACCTATAAATAAATAAATAAATAAATAAATAAATAAATAAATAAAAATAAATAACTAAATAAATAAATAAATAAATAAATTTTACTCTCGTTGTACTGTTTACATAAAACAATATATCTTGAAAGAAGCGGCGGAGAAGATCCAAGTCGATTACACGGTAGCCAGTCATACTTGCGTCTTCTACATCGAAGTTTTCATCACCCATTATTTAACCATGTTTCTTTCGGCTGGCGCTCCACCGTGGCGATTTCTTGGTGCTCTTTTTGCTGGGGAAGCGAACACCTAATATTCTCCTTCTGTTCAATTTGCGGGATGATTATGCCATCTTTTGGGAAAGCAACGCGTTTGAAAAGCGTGGCAGCGAGGCAGAGGCAACAGCAATCGAGATGATGAGAACAAAAAGCAGCACAAACATACTACAAGAGCAACACTAGAGGTAGCTCTGTAATAAAAGTGTTTTCAACAACCGCTAATGTATTAGTATGCATGGTTACTTGTACTACCCACAAAACTCAGTAAAAACGCACCATAAGAAAGCGTACTGCAAAAAAAAAAAACCATAAGCATACCATTCTTCGAGTGTCTTTTCAAATTTTTAAATGTCCAGGGTGCGCAGCGCACTTTGGCGCATATTTTAAACCATTCAGAATATCCACTAGAAGCCGGGCTTCCGTAAATTTGTATTTCATATTGCAGTGGGTTTTGGGTGGGAAAACTGTATATCCGATTTTTCGGAAGGTTACTCCACCATACCTCCTCAAGCTGAAGGCACTGCTATATTGTTGGGATGACGATTTGTCAATATTTCTTCCTGCGTACACTATTTTCTACAATTAAGAAATAAGAAAGATAAAGCAAAGTGAAAAATGCTGATTCGCTCATGATAACCGTATTTACAGTGCTGTATTTACAAGTGCTTACAGTACGCTAGTCAATGTTCTCGAAAGTTATCAGGAAATTCTGGAAATGCGATTTTTCCTCCTGTGCCTTCATTATAACCTTTTTATGGCGGCAGGAATCCTGAGATAATTAGATTTATGAATTCTAAATATCAACACATTTACATTTCAATACTATACGACAAGTGTTCAGACGAGTAAAATAGAATTGAAGTCGTTTCGTACGAACATATCATCCCCGCTTTGAGATATCCAAGAAGCAGCCGAAATAGTATTGTAGTAAAACAGCTATATGGGCTAGTTGGTAACAGTTCAATATGAAAGAGGTGGGGGTTGGTACGTAACGCTTGAGTTGTTCTCTCCTCCTGTCCATGTTATGTACCGCGCCCCAATTCTTCCATAATGAACCGATATAGTATTGTTTGCGGAGTAGCGAATTTCGACCAAGATCACCAATGCCGCCCAAATTGAGCAACCTAAGAGCGCGTTTGCTATAGCAGACTACCAGAATGACGTCAGTGGTGTTATATCTGCATTCGTCAACTTGTACACCACGTGTGCTATAGTGCCAGGTGCAATCCGAAGAATCACGAATCAAACTAGATCGATGCATTACAAGTACTCATTCATTCTGGGCATATTCGAAGACTCGTACAATGGTTGCGCTCTTCGGACCTTAAGTTTCGATTTGAAGTAACCCGATTAGTCGATGCTATCTCTGCATTCATCGACATCCACGCACGTCGATGTTCTACCCTGAAGCGCAGCATACACAGAAGCTAGCTATATCGATGGTTGTGAAAACGACACTCCCTCATAATTCTGGACGTCTCGAAGGGAGGAGTGTGGCAATCGCGCTTTTCGGGCTTTGATTTCTGTTTGAAATGACGATGGGGTAGCGCAACACGTGTCACTTCACTCGAACGCAGAAGCAAATAAAATAAGCGTGCGACCGTTGAGATAGACCAGGATAGCAAAGACAGTTGCTTTTTTGGGTGCTTACAGTTAGTAAAACAGCGTGAGGTACGAGAGCATGCTGGGTCACATCTGGTGTTGTACGGAGTAGATGAGCAAGACCTCCTTTACGAATTGACCAAGGAATACTTTGCGTAGCGTTTTATGGGCGCGTAGGTCGCGGTGTTCTCAATAAATACATGTTCGCAGATTGGACCGTTGTCTTCCAACGTTCAGTAGTTTGAGAAGCCCCCCTTCGTCCTCCTATGTGCATGGCGGAACACATGTATGGCATATGACTTTTCAGTTTTTTTAATGCATACGATTACCCATATCGCCATTATCTTTCTCCTAAGCAAGGCCTATATACCACCACGACGTATGTGAACGAGGGCTTCCTATAAATAAGCTATGTCGTTTTACATTTGTTTTGAATCACGGGTACAACGCATTCAGATCAGATACTTATTTTATGCAAGCATGAGTGTGAATGCAACTCAATTGTGCAATTCTATTAAAATTAAGGACCAGATTTGATCGAGATATTTCAACGAATTATGAAAAAAAATGTGTAGTCCTGCAGTGAAGAGATTCGCTGTCGGAGCGAGTGGGCCCAGCTCAAAATTTAGCCGTGCAGAGAAAATATTGCTATAATTTATTCCACGGGCGCGTTGTTCTAATACATTAGCGCCTTTTGCTGCCTCTATAGGGCATAATTTGACTCTGCATTTTAATGTTTCGATATTAGGCACTGCTTCCTTGATGACACTAAAGGAATAGGATAGTTACCCTACGCCTGTAGCGCCACTAAGGAAGCAGTGCTTAACTGATAAAGATTATACGGTGAATGCTCTGAATGATTGGGCGCATCTTCCTGCGCATTGCAGTGCATGCTGATACAATGCACGATAGATACAGTCTAGAGGGAAAGCTGAGCCGGAAAAGCGATAACCACCGCAACACTGCCATCTTGGAACGTACAGGAACATTGTAGTTGTTGTACAGTGTCTAGAAATATACTTTTAGGGGCGAAGCTCCTTAAGGCGTGGGCTGTGCGTCCCCTGTATGTAGCCACCTCTCGTTTAGTTCTTGCAGTGTCCACTAGATGGCGGTACCGTCTCCCGTATGTCGCCTTCTCTCGTTTAGTTCTTGCAGTGTTCACTAGATGGCAGCACCGTCTCATGCATGTAGCCATCTCTCGTTTAGTTTTTTCAGTGCTCACTAGATGGCGGGACCTGTAGCTGATGATGAAAAGATGCAAGATGTTATAAACTAGACGGCGGTACTTGTAGTTGATGATGAAAGATGCGAGATGTTATAAAATAGGAATGATGTCACATATGGCACGTGTCATTGGTGGAAGGCAATCGTTCGATTTAGTGCGGCGACGTACGCTAGGGGGAGCATTGTAATAAAATCGAGTAGGCAAAATGTACGGAAGATTCATGGTTTACCAGGTTTTCCTCCAGAGCTTCGCCCACTCATCATCATTCACTTCGTGGATATGGCGGCACTTTTTTTTTCTAGCATGGAGGAAGGAAAAAACTTCCTCTATGGTTTCTAGGCACTATAGTTCTTGTCATTACAATACTTGAAGCGCTAAATATATCAGTTCGAAACAGTCAAATTCTCGCAGTATAAATCGACAGCGTATTCACATATAATGTAAAACCTAATTTTTTGATCTTTATATGAGTTACTTTTAGGAAAAATACAATGATCATTTATGTAAATTGCTGCGCGCGAAAAAAAAAAGCGTTTTCAGGTTTCTTTAGTAGATGACGCCACCATCCTAGTTAGCTGTACCGCATCAACATACAGAGAGGGTCCGTGCGGCATTTCCCCGGCTTGTTTGAGCCTCGTCGTCCGTGCTTTTTGTTGCCATTAGCGAACAACTAGATTTTGTGTGACAGTCTCTTACTGCGATACAAGAGAGATCCACAAAACAGAAAAAAAAAATGACAGGGGTTATGCAGTGGCGAGAGCGTACATCACCCGAAAGCTGTGTCGCTCTATCATGGCGGCACGCAGTGGTTATAGGTTTTAATGCATGGACCCTATGGAAAGCTTTTCCTCTAGAGTCTGTATATTAACTCTATAGAATCTACTTTATTCAATAGGTAGGCGTGAGAGAGATATTGTAGAGGCGAAAGAGATTGAGACTGCTGCAGAAGCGCGCATCAGTGCACCTTCAGTGCGTGGCATTAAAAGAGGCAGTTTAGCTAACACACTTATTAAACGTACCTCCTTCATGTTACGATAGATAGTTAACGCCTTTGTTAAGCGACTGCGCCTGCGCATTTGTTGTCGTGGCGAGACACTTCTCGAAACAAACTCAGTTGCAAGTTTAGCGTCATTCTTCCAAGTAGTCTGCTTTTCCTCCGAAGCCTTCGCTATTCTATGACAAATTTCGAACAAACTAGCCCAACAATTCGCTATTTTGAAGGGTAACTAATGCACGGATTTCACGCACCAAAAAAAAAAAAAGTTTTATTCTCTTTCGCAGAAATCCGCTGAATTTGCATCATGCCGTCGAGTTTTCGAGTGTGACTGCAGGCGCTAAAACGCACAGCCTAGCAGATAAGAAGAGCTATGTTGATTGATACTGGCCCGGGCACGCGCAATATGGAGAGAGAGAGAGAAAACTTTATTTGCGCATAACGCGGAGCATTCCAAATGGTCGGGCCCCTATTCCAGGGCTCCGCTGGCCCTAGCCATCATCTCTACCCATTGGACATGCCAGCGCTGATCAACAATGGCCGAGCTGGACAGCAGCGCCTCCCATTGTTCCTTTGTGTTGTTCATGTTGCGGTGTTCTTCATTGTGATGCGTACACTTCCACGTGATGTGAAACAAAGTTGGTGTGGCCCCACGCCACGGACATATATAGCTTTGCTGTGGGGTAGAATACATGCAGCCTGTGCAAGTTCGTGTATGTGTTTGTTTAGATTCTGCATAACGCCACCGATTCCATTGCTGCGAGTTTCTTATGAAGTTGGGAACACGGAACGTGCGCCTCTGTGGCGGAGCCAGAGAGGGGGCTCATTTTTGCCCCTAGCGGCAAACGTCATCAAACTTGAGACGGCCAATGCGAGTAACGCAGCTACCTGTTTAGTGGGTACCACCTTAAATAAAAAAAATAATTTGCCACTCCCTTGTGACGATGTACGACAAGGGATGCGCCATGAACAGCGCCAGAGAAGTGATAGAAGGAACATAAATGCACCGAATTTTAATGAAAGGTGCAGAGAGCCGCTTTAGATATTAGTAGCACGAGTCTTGACGCATTATCCATTTCGCAACATTTCGATGGACCACTGGCAGGTCGTGGAGTTTTGACCAACTACCTCGCTTTCAGTGAACTAGAGGTTGGTACTAGGATTTACCGAATTTTTGTCGCACATACCTGCGCTCGGGTTTCACTGTATTTTTGTTATCAAATTCATGTAATCGTAGGTGTCCCGACAGTCTCTTATACTTTGAAACCTCCTGCTGTAATAATGCTCACCATGTAACTCAACTGAACCACTTAAATAACTCGACATTAAAAAGAAAGCATCTCACAATGTCAAAATGGTTAAGGGGTTAACTATGCAACACCAGTTACCCCTGCTTTCCAACCTACCGACATGGTTTACACGATGTAGCACACCGGAGCATCTGGCAATAACCCAGTCGAAAACACTATTCAGAAAAAAAAAAAAACTTTTTATTACAAACACTCATCTGAGAGGCGACAAATTCCTTCGCAAGAATGAGTGCCCACGACTTCAGTAAAACACTTCGTACAACACAGGCACAGCGAAGATCGTTCTGTCCAAGGAATATATAAAGCAAGAGGGAATGGGAGAAGGGGGCAGGTGGGATAATAAACTGAAAGAAAAACACAGCATGGGTAAAACACTGCAGTCCACGTGTGCAGGCGCTTCATAAATAAATATATTAACGTGCACATTGGAAAAGTGCTTCACTGTCCCGTTCTTCTAGAATGCGGAAGTCTGCGATTTTCCACATCTTACCTTGGCAGCGCTTAGCCAGTTTAACAAACCGCAGCATCACACGTGCACACATACACATATATTCTTTGCAATCAAAACAAACAACAACGCAGCAGGCAGTCACCAGCCGGTGAATGCACTATAAAAAAGAAGCAGCTTCATCAACTACCATAATCGTGACTTTTTCATAAAATACGACACTTTCATTGTACTATGAGTTTTGCGAGACTTCTGCGGTCAAGTTACGCATCATACGAAAAAGACATCTTTAAGTAAAAATGGGCTATAACACCTCACCGGCTCTGTAAAGTCCAAGGCACCATAGTGCGCAGCGCGACGCGACTTGATGCAACGTGCGAGATACTGAAATGCTGGCCAGGCAGGAAGGATATGTACAGAATGGAGAGAAAGAGCACACATGTGTAAGGTTGGATGGCCTGTGATTTAATAATCTTGCCGAGAGTGGCGTTTTGTTCGTGGCAGTCACCCAACAGATGTGGGCACTTGAAACAAAGTGACACACAACTGCGTAGCACTTTCGTACACGTTTCTTCTAAAAGAGCATGACATCAAGTTTTGCACAAATGAAGCAACAGGCCCAAGACATGATGGAAGGGAAAGGTTGTAGATATCGTCTAAGCTGTTCTCTATAACAGCTCGTTTAGGAACAAAGATTTCATGGCACTGGGGGGGGGGATGGGTCTCACAGGTTGCAAATGGTTGTTCACGACAACATAGTTTCTCGTTCACAGTTTAGGTGTCCGGCAATGTGGCCAAGTTGTCCCAATAAGCAAGTGTGACGAAAACAAAGACCAAGTAACGGTAATCCATTGACAACTCATGCATGACCTTAAATTTCTGCACCAACTATTTCTCCATAATATAGTTATATAGCATGTGGTAAACCCACATTGATCATACAACAGCAGCAAGAACGGGAGTGCCAAGATGATTCCACATTCTAGTGGAACATAGTAAAGCTTTAAAATTGGGCTTCTCATTTTCTTTTTGAGACAACAAAAAGCTTCATTACTGCTTCCTAAGCCTCCTGCTATAAATACTCTCACTAACGAACCTTGAAAAACAAAATATTTGGGCGACCAAATTGCCTAAAGGTGCACAAGCATGTTCTTGTGCAAATGAAGCTAAACAAATTAAATGCTTTAGTTCGAAGCAAGATTGTTGTGTTTGACAACTATTCCACCAAAGAAAAAGTAGTTTAAAGTAGCTCGTGCCGTAAAAATCAGCGAAGCTTGGTGAGCATACAGCAGCAAAAAAAGTAAAGACACAAATCTGACAGCCCCACTTTGTAAAACTAGTTAACTGGAATGCAGCACAACTTCGAGAGAAATTAAAAATTACAAGGAGCATAAGAATGAAAATAACCAATTTTTCAAATTAATTGACAGCTTTGGAAGTGCAATGCTGCAAAGTGACACACTTTATCACGTAGGATCAAAAAAGACAAAAGAGCGTGGTAACCATTCAATAGCGACCTCAAACCCGACAAAACTTTGAATTGACAAAATGCAAGCCCACAGAAAAAGAGCTGACGAAAGGGTGGCGGCCTGGTTTGAACTCTACTACACATGACTGCACTTAAGCATTAAACATCATAAAATTTACCAGTGTAACTTAAACACACTGTCACGCTTGTGATTTGAACTTCACTCTCCCAGATGGACAAAATAAGAGCCAATGACAGGCAAGACCATCATTGCGCCACCATTGCAGTTTTCAATCTGCTGACATTCGGCCTACTAATAAGCAAGGTTTGTCTTGCAACAGCTAAAAAGCAAGCATATGCCCCTAAAGGATGAAAGCTGTTGGGCTACAGATGAGCAACAGTACAAGCAACCCATGTACATCAGACTAGACCAAAAGGAGGAAACAAAGGGTTGTGGCTATCAAAAAATCTCATAAACAGTGCTTCGTTCAATGCTCTGCGCATGGAAAAAAGGAAAAAGGAAGGAGCTTCCACACTCTCTCAACAAGATCAGGGTGCTGCAAAGATCATGTTCCCCATGGAGACAGGTGTCTCATATCTCCGCAATTGAGGCATCACAAGTGCACGCACTTTTCTATCGCCATGTGAAACGGGTCTCTCGCAGTAATGACCACGCACAGTCCTAGCAATGAAACTTCTCTGGCTAATTCACTCATATCATGACACCTTTGCAGTGAGGGCTCTTATCTTTTCTACAAAGTTGCAGCTAGCAAGCTGCGGTCCCATAAGCACGTTTGTGACCAGTCTGGTCCACGAATTGGCTGTTCAGCCCTTGTTCATGGTACCCGAAACTGTCGTGAGACATCAATCCACGTTAAAAAAAACGAGATTACTCTACAGCGGTCGAGAAATGCAGGCATACAGGGGGGGGGGATAAAAAGCTATTGTGACAATCTCCAGCCATTCAACTAAGACCTTGCACTACTGCTAGAACTCAATGTGCACATTATCTCACATGCAACGATCAACATGCCCCTCCTTGCTGCCGAGGCTTCGATGCAGGATGCCATTTCGAATGCTTGACTGACGTCGGTGCCAAACAGAACTGCAATCTCGCGTCGGTTATCACAGGGCTTTTTATTTGTTCCTACCGGCCAGTGCTGGGTTCATTTGTTACAAGCATTATAGCAGTTTTCAACCTAAAATGACAAGAGGCAGCCGAGCGTGACAAAGAGGCACCATAACGCATTCTAGTGGGTGCACGCATACAATCCTCACAGTATCCGTCCAGCAGTGGTCAGACAAACAACAGCTAATTCCCCTCACAGGCAGTGCGGCCACATTTAGTGCGATTGTTTCACTCAAAACAGACTGAATTGAGCAAGATACCTTATGTGATACTGAAAAGTCAAATCTAGGGAAGTAGTGTCAAAGACTGTTCACATGTACTCTTAACTAATTATGTTTGCCCACTGTTAAACTGACCGTGTTCACGAATCGTTCGTCTAGCTGCGAGACAACCTCAGAATTATAATTGTACAACCAGGTTTCACTATAGCATCTGCTATACAGTGAACTTTCACGAAGATGAACTCGAGAGAGTCAAGAAATGTGGTTTAGCAAACAATTAGTCACTAAACATTATAACCACACTATTAATTGCGCTCTTGTCTAAGCAACTGAGTAACTAGTGCTAGCCTACTATCTTCTAACTGCTTGATATTACAGATGCTAACATTTCACTTTTAAAAAATAAAATTTTCTCCCTGCATGTCATTAAAAAATACTACACAAAAATATGCGACATTTATAAGCTGGTCGATGCTTCACACTAGGCATAGAACTTCATTTGCTTTACCAGCTGATTTGTGTGAATGCTGCTTGTTCTGGTTTATTCTCGACCGTCTCGTGTCATTATCATTATTGGCTTTGGAAAGGCATCTTGAAGACTTTTTATAGGTGGTGTTTTGAAACACAGGGATGCTTTTAGTGTTTACCAGCTTGCCTGCTAGCCTTGAAATAGCGACTGCAAGGTGTGCATTTTGATGTTACCTCATAGTTTCCATGGTGTCAGGCCTGCAGGATTTTACAACCTTGCCGATAGTGATAATGTTTAGTCCACCAATACAACAGTTCGCTAGAAAACTGGAGCCATTCTGAGTCTTCCAATGTGGTGTTTCAACGAACGTGGCACTTGTGGCAGCAGAAATTCGACCTAATTATACTTGCTGGTGTATGCTATTCATCATTTTACTAATTGGGTTTCTTTCAATGTAATACAATCAATCGCAAAATAATTACAATATACTATTATATCAAAATTAGTTTGCTAACCCAAGATTCAGTGCCCCCCCCCCAAAAAAAATATTAAAATTCACCCCTTAGGATTCCCAACTAACCATTAAAAATACCTTCACAAATGCAGTACATTAACCCATCAGCTAAAAACACTAAGCTCTCACTTGGGCAAGTTTAAAAGCTGCTATAATCTGCCAACACTGCTTGCAGGAGGGATTAGATGCTTGAACACCAAGCAGGTCATAAGTTAAGAGCCGATGCACCGACAAAAACATCCAAAGCCTCACTTAGGTTCCACACGCCACAGCACACTAAAAAGAAAGCACATTCAGGCACGTCTCAACATTCCTGGGGCACTGCATGTCAATTCAGCCTCTGTACAAGATATATATATACCAACGACATTTTGCAGTCTATGGTGCTCGGCTTGTCCGCAAAACCTTGTTCCTCTTAAGTGGGCACTTTTCTTCAACATTCTTTGCGTACGACTTTCACGTCGTACACAACATGCCGCACTGCTAAGAGTACACATATTCAAGACTCTAGAGATGCAGGCATGTTGCAACTTTGAAGAAGGAAAAGGTGCGCTAGACAGGCGATTACTGTTTGGGGACAGGACTAACCACCAGAGGGCACAAAACTCTTCCAGTGAGTGCACCTATAGCTTGATTATCTACACAGGCAAGTTGTTGAAGCCGTTGACTGTTTCATTTCAAGACGGAGTCGCTTGGCAAGCCGGTTTGAGAGCAGCAGGCCAAATCGACAACGAAGCAGTGGGCTAACTACAAAAACAATGGCGACTGGTGAAGAACAAACAAGCACTGAGCATTCCACTTTCGTTCACAACAGTGGCGTAGCCACGATTCGATGGACAAGCGAAGACGAGATAGTTCTTGCAGAAGGATGCACAGCTTCCGACGAAGAGTGGGAGAGGAAAAGATGGCTAAGGGAAGGGGGCTACTTGGACAGCTTGCTGATGACTCGTATCAGGGCACCATTCTCCTCACGAAGCCGGGCGTTTTCGGCTCGCAGCTGTTCAGATTGCTGGAAGGCATAAAAAAGAAGGATGCGGTAATATGAATCTAATGGGGAAACTGATTCTTTGCAAAAATACGCTCAGCATCGCGATCAGTCTGGCCCTCAGCTACAACTCGTCCCTGGCTGCAGTCGCTCCCGGCCACAATCGGCTCCCTACGATTTCTAAGAACTAGAGGCCACAAAGATATAATGAACATTGAGATAATGGCAAATTAAATGTTCTTGTTACCTAAACTTGTAATGTCTTACTTCTGGGTGAAAGATTTCACTACACACAATCACTTTGTATAGGGCACTACTGTGTTAATGATAGACGCTGGAAATGGGATGCTTCAACACAAATTTCAAAATATTTTTTATACACTTAGGAATGCTTGCTGTCAACAGATTACTGAATGGAAATTAAGAAGGTAACTGAATATATCTCCTGCAGAAATCTTGCATGACTAAGTGTACAGTTATTGAATTTAAATGCAGTTTTTTGCCATAAAGTACTCTATACTTTATTTAAACATTATTCCACAACTTGCCAGAGACCTGTAAGCCTTTTTTTCGACCACTCGCTTGTGATGTTTCCTGATAAATTTTAGAGCCATTATTCATCGGCCTTTTTCTTTCAGAAACTTATGCGCATGCTTTAACTATTGTTTGGCTCGGGAACCACATGTTTCTGCGAGTGTTTTGGCAGCAGATAAACTTGGGTTGAGAGCGATCATTCGGGCTAACATGAACCACACAACTGAGAATGCACCATCGGTGACAAATGAAATAAAAACTGATGATAGTCACCACTGTAGACATCAGTCATCACTCTAGATGTGCACTGGGCTGGGAAATAGGAGTGATGCATGCCTGTCAGTTGTAGTAACTACGCCACGCGAACTATACCGTTTCTAATGCTGGCTGGTGCTCGGGTTCACTTTTACGCCTATAGCACATCCGGGTACAAATAAAGTGCGAACAGTAACGCCCTTTGAAAGTAATCATAACCAACAAAACTTTCACACAAGAATTTGACATAGAAATACTATTCTTACATCTGCTATTTGCTGCAAGTACACATGCTAAAATGAGGCAAATAGAAATCACTAGTGCGAGAACTGCATAAGCGTATGAACAGAAAGCCTCAAGCTCACAAAATATTGGCAGAAGTTATGCTTATTAAATCCATTGGTGAATGAAGAAACAGAAGAATGCATTATGCTTACTTGCAGCTCGATCACATATAACAGTCTGCAACAACTACAACTTAAGTTCCACAAGCAGTTAGCTGGTATTACCATAAAATAAATCGCAGGAAGGTTTGTGTGCAGTGCCACTCTATGTTTCCTGTACATGACGCTCAAAGGATGTCTCATGTGAAATTCTAGTATGAAAGCTACATGAAGCTATGAGAATGAATAATTAAACTTTCCAGTAATCTCACATGGATGAATGCAATTAGGGCTCAGCAGTTATGAATGGCTGGCCAGCCGTAAATTTTGTACACCGCGAAATGCTCATGCTCATGGCAAATACTAAAGCTCACATGAACCCAAAGCCATTTCACATTTGAACTTCGGGCTCTTCATGCAGGTACGCAGGTGTAAAGAAGATATGTGGCCAAGCCCTTACAGTTCGAGTTATTACATCATACCAGTTCGCGAAACTGCAATCTAAAAGCTAGACACGCAATTTGCAGACTGCAGGGAATTAGCAGACTGCCGCGCCGCCTGGGAGCAACAATGCAAAACATGAAATAATGCATTTAATGGTTGGTGCGCTGATCAACAGGTGGCACGACAATATGCACACTCCCGCCATCTGGGCCAACGCCATGTCTGGATTTCGATACACGGGAGCCTATGGGGAGTTTCGCAACTCGTATGATTGAATAACCTCAATAAATCCAACACATATTTGTACCAATGTTGAAGCGACGCCACAGGATTTCAGTACCCAACAGCATTCATTTAAGCAAGCCAGTAAAAAGCACATTCGTTGCATCCCAACACCTGATTTCTCAGTATTTGTTCAACCAATACAAAAACAAAACCCACAATCAATAAAAACACAACACCCCAGTAAGGAGAACATTCTTCAAGCTGTTCGCTATCACAAGCGAAATACTGGTACCAGAATGTTTTGTGAAAAGGATAAGCAGATATGTTGTCGCTGCACAAACAGGTTTCACAAGTGACCTCTCATGATGTGCAGAGACAGGGTCACTCACATAATGTTACACTCCAGACAAGCTCGTATTCACTGCACACATATGATGCTATGTGAGTGTTCTTGCACACACGGGTGAATCTACACATGCTGTTAAAACGTGCATGATTCAAGACATACCACACTGCAGTATTCTGGGGGAAGAATGAAAGTAAAAATCTACGAGGTGCAGTAGTGTACACCAAGTACAGCATGAAATGCATGTGTCGACTCCAAAAAAGAAAGCAATCATTCATTAAGATCAAGTAATGTTGCTGAAAATTAGTAAACACTGCAATCATAGATTAATTAGGAACACAACACATTGAACATACTACGGCATAAGACAGCTTAAGGCAGTGTGCATACACAGCATGTGAGCATAGGCAAAAGACCCAAGTGCTGAACTATATATTTTTCTCATGTACTGTGCAGTCTACGTATGATGCTGTGCGGGTGCTGATACCCCCTGTAAGGTTGTTTGGGCTACGTGGCGCACATGTCTCGGCCAAAAGCTGCATTTCGAATAACAACCACCAGGCGATCGGTGGCGTTGTGTTCGCGAGAGTTGGCCACCACTATCATGATCATCATCATGGTGTAGCGCCGGCAGTGAACCCTGGGGGACAGCAAGCCTTGGTGGCGGGCGAGAGTAGCGACTCTTCTGCGCATGGTGGTTGCCTCTAGCATGGGTCCTCGGCGCGTGGCACCGCGGGCCTGCGCGCCGGGGGCCCTCGTGGTAAGTAAAGCGTTGGCGACGCCGCCTTGGGTGTGTACTGTGTATTATGTTTGTTATGAGTGTATGTTAATATTGTGTGCGGATGTCTTAGCAGGTTAATTACATTAGATGTATCAATTCACAGACGATATCGTCATTCAAAAGTAGTTAAATGTATGTTGTTACTTGGTTTGTACCGACCGCGTCTGCTGTGTCCAGTTCACTCCAAGAGCGTGGCAGTGGCGCTCGCTCGACCGTTGCGAGACCCCACACTGGCGCCCAACAGTGGGGATCTTGTAGCGTTGGACGACAGCTTACGTGGTTGGGTACAAGCTTCAGGGTAGAGTAGGCCTAGAGGGGACTTCTCATTGCTAGCATCGGCGGTGTGCTTTGTTGAGAGCGAGGAGATGGGTATTTGTGACGTGTTTGAACTTCTCGGCAGGTTGAGTTTTTAATTTTTTCCTGCTCGCAAGTTTTTTTTTTGTTAGTTTTCAAGAACGTTCAGTTGGGATGAGAGCCATGCGGCCTGCACCCTGGGGTGAGCAAGGCTTACAGCACGTGGTTTGTAGGCCAGGCTCGAAGTGAGTGAGTACGGAAGCCTCGTGGGTGGTCCGATTTTCTGTAAATAGCTTCTAATTCTTTTGGGCTCAGGGAGCTGGGTGTCGTTGCTGTCTTGCATTGCGGCTCGGCGCCGTGGCGTCGCTACACCGCCCCGGACGGTGGACGCCAATCGCTCGGTAAGCTGCCTGTGTGCGGTGAGCGATAGGGCCACCTTACAGAGTGAATGCTTCCTCGTGGCTGCCTCTTCTGCACCTAGGCTGGTTGGATGCCGGTTGTTGCCGAGCGACTCATTAGGCCTAAGGCTCTGCGCAGCCGCCTGTCGCACTCTGCTTCCTTCACTTTTGCTTTTCATCTTGCGATGCACGAGTTAGCAGAAAGCAATTTTCGTTTTATATTGATGGGCTTCTCGGCCACCACCGATGTCTAGCAGTACTGCCCATCATACCACGTGGACGAAAAGCCCGAAGCTCCCTACCCTAGGCCTGCTCCATTGTTCTTTCGAGTGTTATGGAATGTACGCAGCGGGAGAGATGTAATCCATGGCTAGCTGTCTTCTGCGCATCGTCAGCGCCGCTGGCCAGGAATGCGGTCGGGCGATGGAGATGCCTGGGACCTGCGCAACTGCCTGCATTCCGGTGCCCTCGTGAGTGCTGGTCGCAACCGGCAGACGTGTTGGCGCTAGTGACAGTTCATCGCGCCGACAGCAACGTTGCTGTTGCGGGACCGGTACTGAGGTGAAGTCGAGCCAGACAGTGCAGCAGTGTCGACGGCGGCGGTGTTGTGGCAAGCAAGGACATTATAAAGGGACATGTGATGTAATTTTTTTTTTGTTACAGCTTGTGTAGCTAACTTCTTTGTTTTTTGGAATATGGTTTGATTTAAGGTTGGGGGAAGGTGGGGGTGCTGACACCCCTGTAAGGTTGTTTGCGCTACGTGGCACACGTGTCTCACCCAAAAGTCGCATTTCGGGTGACAACCACCAGGCGATAGGTGGCGTTGTGTTCGCGAGAGTTGGCCACCACTATCGTCATCATCATCATGGTGTAGCGCCAGCGGTGACCCCTAATGGAAAGCAAGCCTTGGTGGCGGGCGAGAGTTGAGCGACTCTGCACGTGGTGGTTGCCGCGGACGGTTGCCTCTAGCATGGGTCCTCAGCACGTGGCACCGCAGGCCTGCGCGCCGGGAGCCCTCGTGGTAAGTCAAGCGTTGGCGACGCCGCCTTGGGTGTGTTAGTCATGTGTGCTTGTCGTGTTATTGTGTAAGGATGTCCTAGCGTGCTAATTACAATTGATATATCGATTCGGTGAACAATAACATCGTTTTAAATTAGTTAAGTAAATGTGTATTGTTCTTTAGTTTGCACCGACCACATCTGCTGTGTCCGTTCACTCCAAGAGCGTGGCGTGGCGCTCGCTCCCCAATTCGAGACCCCACAATGCGTACTGTCAAAAATTATGACTGACCTACTAACTTGCCACTACACTACCTCTTATTGCTCAAGACCTGCAAGCCTCATGACTAATATGAAAGCTAGTCTGTGGTGATGATCACATAAAGCAACCATGTAAATTTCGGAAAACGTGTCCAATACAGCGAGAAAGTATCAGCCTACATGGACAACTAAAGTAAACCTACAACAAACATAACACTGGTTCCATTTGCTCATTTGTGATCTGGTAGGCAAGGCACACACAACTATATAGAGGGAAGAAAAAAAAAACAGGGAACTCTGCAACAAACTAAGGGTTTAGAAAAAAAAATGAAAGATAACATATCAACTCTCCTATACAAACACTAATGGTATACGTTATCAATTTCCTTGCTAAAGAGGAGACCTATGACTATTTTTTAAAAAGATGACCACAAGTGGGGCATTACAACACCAAACAGGAACATGTGCTCCTGTGCCAACTCGCACATGGTCATACTCGGCCCACACCTGCACTGCAGTATAGCACATAATGCGCTTGTTGCAAATGGCCTTCCAATTATTCACCTGTGTAGCCAAATTGTTACAGCAGTTAGATTATGTTAAAGACAGCACAAGGTGTTACCTAAACACAAAGTATTTGTTTTCTACAAAGGAGTTGTGCAATGTCTCGATGACAAACCCGAAGTGTAAGGCGTGTAATGTCTTGATCGCAAACACAAGGGGTTATCAAAATGGCCTCATCAAATCACACTTTCTCCCAACAATAAAAAAAGACACCGAGCTCAAAAAATACTGCAGATGCATCTCTCCTACAAAAGTTCCTAAAAGATTTTGTGCTAGTAAAAAATGAAACGTTACACTTGGTGCTTCCTTATGTCTGTGTAAGGATTACAAAATATCCACAAAATTGTCACTCTTAGTGATCACACCGCTCAAAACCTTTACGACAAAAACGAGTCGTAAATGAACATTCACACAACCCAACAGATAAATAGGCAATGTATCTTGTGCAGTAACTGACAATGTACTTGCACTTGGGACAATTGTTTGTGATCAACATCATCATGTTTCAATAAGGTTGATAACTGGGCTAGTTGATCGTTTTACCGTAAGGTTAAGTGGTGCAGTTTTTAACATGAACAAGAGGGATAAGAAGGACATGACACTCATTACTAGCCAGTGCCGTGTCCTTTTTATCTCTCTTGTCCGTGTTAAAAGCTGCGCTACTTAACCTTACGGTAAAATGACCATCATGTTTGCTTTGCAGTACAATGAAATTAACAGGTAACATTGCAATCAGGCTAAGACTACAGGGCAACACTATTTTCTGCTTTAGGACTGTTTTCATTGTTTTTGTTACACAGTAACGCCATGCACATTAAAAGTGTTGGTCCTCCTATCTCCACCTTATGCCACCGGGCATAGGATATATGTTCGATAATATGAACATCATGCCAAGATTGACACAAGCATTTTTCTTTAAAGTTTACAGCATCCCTGAATGTGCTATTAAAAGCTTTAGTCGTTTTGGGATACTTGAATGCAGAAATTGTGGTCTGTCTGCCTTCCTGTGAACGATTCATTTTAACCCCTAGTGCAACGCCCACTCATCTTGAGCTGGTGGCTGCATTCCTACTTGTGAACATTATCAATGAAAAAGCAAATATTATGCATATTTCAAGTGCAACATAAATATGTAAGAGTCCGGCAGCGTCTTTTTATTTAGAAAATGCATAGATGCGTCATTCTAAAAACCGAAGTGTTTATTATTCTGCGCTGAGAATGCGACACTATGAACGAAAAAGTGAGTGCTTCCAATGTTTGACTAAAAAATTGTGGGGCTATAACTAAAACGATTCGGTGCTGCCACCTACCAGTGGCTCTGCGTTCTAAAAAACTTTTCGTTTCTTACGTTACTGCCAGAAGGCAGCATATCTCGCGCAGCGCCACCAGACAGAAGACTATCGTCTTTCTGTGACCTTTGCAGCGAAGCATGGATTTACATAGCAAATTTTTATTATTATGGCTGTTGCAATTCATATGCATTACAAACTCTCCAATAATTATGAACTTGAATCAATTTACAAGCAAACATTTCTTTCAAGATCAAAATATGCATTAAAGAGTTCCATGACCGACACCACATCTGTGACAGATATTGTATTTAGTGGATGTCCACTTATATAAACAGCGGGTTCAATAGCTTCCCAATTATTTCCAGCTGCATTTGTTCCACGAATGCTACACATCTATTGTACAGCTGCAAATACTTTCGATTTTGTTATCTTTAATTACACTCTTCAAATTTGCTGAAAAAAAACTGCCTGATCCCGTCTGTATTCTCCATTCAGTAACTACAGCTTTTATTTAATAAGAAATTGTTGTTGAGCGAGTTGATTACATACCATGGCAATTTCAGCACTACATAAGACTTACATATGCAAGAGACAGATGACAGACAAGCACTGTCTTCTGTTTGTCTGTTGTTTGCCTCTCGCTTGTGTACGTCTTTTACAGAGCTAAAATCGAAATGTTATGAAGCTTTTGTATTTGACTTACTGCCAACAAGTCAATTACAAAGGTAAAAAATTCAGGGCAATTGCTTACCCTAAAGCAGAGGAAATGAGCAATTGCCCTTAGTTCCCTCAACGCCTCGGGGTTTTCTTTTCCGTGCTGCACAAAAGCCCCGAGCCGTTTCAGCAAACAAGCAACGTCACGAGCTGCAACTAGTCACGCCACTTCACAGCGCATGGCAGGCCGAGTGTCAGAGGTTTTATCAGAAGCCAGGCGCCAACTCTTGCCAAGATGCGTGACCAACGAGAGCGGTCAGGATTTTTTTACCTTCCTCATTTGGACAAGTTCGACACGACGCGAGTCAGCGCACGGTTTTCAGCCTTGAGCTTGGCATTCTCGGCCTTGAGCTGAGCCAGAACCTGCAACGATATGTCCACGGTTGTCAAGGTGACAGTGCTTGGCACCACAGGCTGCTGAAAGGGAATCGCCTGATGATTTGCTGACGCCCGGAGATGTCCGACATCTGCTCGAGGAAATGGCCGTGGCAAGTGGTCATGACAAGGCTTGCCTCTACAAGTAGCAAGTTTGCCATGCCCTCCAAGGTTGCCTAAGTTGTGACGCAATGGTGGGATGCAAAAGGGCACTGGTATGACACGAATTGCCTACAGCACATGCTACAGGAACACTCAACTGAAAAAGAAACAGCAAAAAAAAAAAAACACGAAGAGACAAAGCTGATTTGAAAGATGCAAGCGCTACAAACGTTGCCCAATTTTCGCTGCACCACGGCCACTGGGCATGTTAGGTTGAGAAAGTGTACAAGATGATAACGCTGGCACCATTTCATAGATAGCATATCATCTGCATAATAATATTTGCATTCACATTAAGCTCAGAAAGAAATGCCCCTTGGCCAATTTTCACTGAAACTGTCTGAAAACGTACTTAGATTTCTATATATAGTGTATTATAAGCGTATTAGGTATGTATTACTTATGCATTACGAATTTTGTTATACAATACAAGTTCAAGTTTTACGTAAAATGTACAGTATGTTTTTTTAAAATAACTTTTAATTTATATACAATGTTGCAATCGCAGTGCCCCTCTTACACAATGCCCAATGTATTTGTCAGGTGTTTCAAATAAACAAGGAACCAAACTTGACTAACTAAACTTTGCTCCTGTTTTTAAGTGTTGCACAGCTTTACTGTACAAAAAAAGAAGTTGTTCTCAAGTATTTAGTCTCTGAACAAGTAACACTGATAATATCACCGGCTCTTGAAAGCATTTGTCAAGGAAAAACAGATTCAGGACTTCATTGGGACGACAGTGTCCCAGCCACTTTTTAAAACGTGAAGTGCACAAGGAACCTCAACACACAACTGCATCAAGGAGTGACAAAGCAAAGTCATCGTAAATGACTAAAGTTCACCCAAACAAGGCCGCTGAACTAAACAAACCAAGCAAATGTAAGCGTTCTGAGAATGCAAGCAGTAGTCGTGCCATATGCCAATCACTGTAACCTAATAGTAGTGTGGACTGCCCTGAAGTTGCTAACGTAGCGATTCCCGGTGCTGTTTGAACATGGCCTGGTTGCAGCATGCTAGTTCTACTGCATGGCAAACAGACACAAATGGCTAAGTGAAAACAAGGAGCGAATGGTAACGCACCTTGAGCTCCTCCTCCATTTCCGAGATTTTCCTCTCGAGCGCTCGACGTTCCTGTGTGAAGACAACACAAATTGTAAGGCATGCAAAAACATAACGAGCATTTTTTATATTCACAAATGAGCATTATTTCACTTCTGAACAAGAAAAAATAAAGCAAGCATGCATATCAAAGCCCCGAAAAATGTGCTTTAAATGCAGGTTCAATAAAAATGCCATCCGACAAAATTGGGAACCTTCAAACCATGCGAGTGCATATAGCATTCTGCAAAACTAACATCCTAACATTAGCTTTGAATATACTGCTATGAGCATACTTCTGCAGCCAGCAGCAGGTGGTATAATGATACAATGGCAACGTCATGCTGGAATACTCTGAATGCTCGCTTTGAAGGGTGCACTTTTTGGTAAAGCTTTTGAAGATTGTACATTTATCGATAATACCACTTTCCAGGAGTGCAACAGCCAAACAAACAAACAAAAACTAATTTGCAGTAATTTATGTAGCAGCAAAATGTAGCGTTTGGAGCTTGAAATTGATAATTTGGAGCAGTACAACAAAGCAGGCCCGTTTTTAGAAAATATATATTTATGTATGAACCATTTAACATCAATGAACTGATGCAGAGTACACATGAGCACTGCTTTTCAATAAAAGCAGTTTGTTGAGCCAATCCTACAATGCAAACAATGACCAAGTCCACACTAGCATTTGCGTTGCCTGTCAAATCATTTTACAGGCGCTGTGAATGCTAATGTAGACATGCCAAGCTGGCGACCTCGAAATTCAAGAAATTCAAGAATTTTTTGTTTGTTTCTCAGGGATGCAGGAACATCACAGATCATAGACAGCTCTTATTGATTTCCAGCAATTGTTTAGGCATTTGGGATTATACTAGTAACCGTAATCATACAGTGCATGCATACATAATTAGGAATAAAATGCACGGTGCCCCGTTAAAGCTTGTACTAATAGCCCCTTCTAAGTATTATTACGCTTTCCACATCGCATTGGTGTGCTGAAGCAAAAGTGGCTTAGGAAAAATTCTGCATGTGATAGAACAAGGCCAGGAAGTTTTAAAAGAGCTGTCCTTTCTTTTTTACTTTTACATTGTGATTAGGGTTAGTAACTACACATCTGGATTGGATCGGATGATGCCCAAACTGTAGGTGGCCGAAATCGGCCTCCATTTCTTGCTAAAGTTAGTGCAAGTGAGAAAAATTTGAGGCTGGCCGGGCATTTTGGTGCAGCTTAGTGTAATTTCAACAAATTTCACTGTTTTGACTGCTATGCAAAAAATTAAGAAATCGTATTAAATTGACGCAATTTTCGCATCTGTCGAACCCCTCCACTTTGCTTTCAAAAAAAAGCTCCGGACCGATAATTCATGGAAGTAGTTTCAAACCCTTCCAACAAAAATTCAATAAAGTATGACTACTTTCATGGTCACTGTGACAGTGAAAAAAACTGAAACAGACTTTAGATAGTAAAGCTTCAGTAAAAGAAAAGAAATGCACAAAATTGTGGCAATTTATTGAAAAAAGAAAGGCTTTTAGAAGGCTAAAGGTTTTCCAGTGCCACTGCTGCTGCTCGTCGCAACCTGATATTTTTCACTCACCAACAAACATTAGGTTACACAGAATCCTCCGACAATGCTATAAAACGAGCAAATTTTAGTGTACATTCAACTTGAACATCCAGCAACTAATTGCACCATAAGATCTTATTTCCAGCGGTTGGGTGAGATTTTTTAAGATAGGGGAGAATTGCTTGAAAATGTGAAAACTGGAAATAAGTGGAAAAGCTGCAATGTCTTTTACTCGGGTAACTACATTGTGCATCGCTGTATGCAACTAGAGCAACATCTGGACAATAAGGAAACATGCAAGTAGAGTACAAGGAATGTGCTATCAACAGTGAGCATATCTTTTCAAAACTCACTATATGCTTGTTTTCATGCCTGTTATGACAAAAGCTGAGAATGATGCTTATCAAGGATGCAAATAGCAATGGCATCTTGCAGAACTCGCGACAAACTGCCCTTTCTTGAAAAGGATAGCCTTAGATGAGAAGCTTAAAAACAAGGCAAGGTTAGGTTAGCTGGATCGATATTGCACATTGTTACTGCATTCCGACGCATGTACAGCACTCACGGATTCAGATGCAAAAATGCAAGGCAAGTAGTGCACAGGCTTTCGTTTTCACAATCTTCAGCTCGTGTCATGTCGGTGTATTTTCAACTTAAACCACCATTATAACAAGTTTATGTTGAGTAGTCGTTCATAGCAGTTGTAAAACTAAAAAAGTGAGTTTCGTCACAAGGGCGAAGCAATGAAAGCGGGAGCGACAAATTGCGATGTCACAAAATGAGCGGTAAGCAACTCCATACTTATGCAGCGTTGCTAAAGAGCGAAGGACGCACGAAAAGAACACACACGGGACGAGCGCGAAATATTAACTGCGAGCTCGACACTCTCAACATGCTGCTCAATCAAAGAACGATGCTCTAAAAGAATGCGGAGGCACACACAGGGCGAACACGAACTACTTTTTCGTTTCTGATCAGCATGCTGCAAGTGTCAACTATACCAGTGCCTCCTAGTTGAACACAGTGGTTGGTGGTGTCACCCCTCTGCGACAACTGCAATATGTGGCATTTCACAGCGCGAAAGGGTACAGCTATGGGTCACTTTTTAGTGCGCACATCAAGAACAGTTGAAACAAAATACAAGGCGCATTGTGTAAGAGGGGCCTTTCAACGCTATTGACCCACCTCTATATTTTTTTTGTGTGTTTTGCATATAGTGAGGACTGGGGATAATATTAGCATAGGTCTAAACACGAATTTCAAATGATTTAGTATTTTAATCACACAATAATGTCACTACATTGCTGCCAACCGCATCAGCACATGGTGGCGCTCGCTATAACTGTTGTGGGCGGATATGACAGCGGACGGCTGCAAACCTATGATTGGATAAATGTAATGTTAGAAAAGATCGTGCCATGCTACAAAAACAGAGATTACTAATGTGTTTCACTTTTTTTTTTGTGCTTTTTCATTGAATCCAAAACAGATGCGGACGTAACAAAAAAGATCACTACGACTACAAAGCGCGAAAGAGACACTGGCTACCATTTTGCCCCCTGAATTTTCTGCCTGTGCGGGTCAGATCAGTACGAAAGACCTCTCTCTTCCCTCCTCTTGCTTTTGTGCATTTGCGAGCTGCCTATTTGAGCACATATGGGAGGCTCTTCATTGTGTTCTTTAAGGGGTGCAACGCACCCTTATGGTTCCTCGAGCGGCTCACTGAACAACTAGCGAAGGGTCAACAATGTCACTCCCTTCTCAGTAGAAAATACCTCGCTTCGAAACTATAGCGCCCCTTCACGTTCAGACAAGTCAGGAGTCAGGCACCCCGTTTGTTATTATGCCAATGAGGCCTACAACACGCTGTAGAGGACAAGCAACAATGATGTGTGAGCTTCCCCAACGTTGAGTTTCCAGCTCACTTCCTTGGGGAAGCCATCCAACGTCACCGGGCGAGTGCAATGTGGTCAGGTGATCCCACGAAAACCAAGTAGAGGGTAGACATTTTTTTCGTCTTGTATTTTGAATTTTCTAAATTGAATAACTTAGGACTGCGTGCCCCAACCACTGCCGTTCTAGCTGTATTAATCTCTCTGTACTTCGGTCTACACAGTTGGCGAGTAAAAATGGGCGGGTCAGATAGTGTTGGCGGGCCCCTTCAAGCACATCCTTCACACCGTCCTGCAGGTGGTACTCAACATGCAGAAGCACCTCTGAGATTTTCGTACTACTAGCAGTAAGAGCTTGCTAATAGCATTCCAAACAATGAGTGGCACATGGCTGAACTTTCCAACATGTCAGGCGAGGGGTCACAGGTTCAAATAACAGTGGCAAACTTGGAACATTTTTTTTGCAATTTATTTTTCTGTCGCTTTCATTTATATACACGTATACGTATCTGGGACTTGACCACGACGACGAAAGTTCGCGAAGAGTGTCCATATAATTGCTATCTTAACAAAAAAATGGTGTAGCATTTCAGTCTGTGAGGGCTGTGCATTGCTCCAGTAAGGTCGGGCTAGTTAGTAATCTGTCGTATCAGAAACTAGCCTCCAATACTTCGCTTGCCGGCACATTGTTGCGCACAGGCAGTTAGCCACAGACGCAAATCAAGTGGGAGTTGGTGCAATTCCTCAACAAGTGTAGACACAATGTTACTATAATGCTCTGAATGCTGCCTTAATGCTGCAGACGTTGCTCCAATATTGCTACAACAATCTGTGCTGCCGGAGTTAAATTCATTTTTTTCAACAGTAGATCGTTACAATCGCTCTTCCCATGATTTGCTGAGTCTGGTCCAACTAACAAATCTGGGGCGACTAGCGAGAATATGCATAGCACACTCTTGTGAAGTCTGCTTGTAAAGTGAGGATTCTACTTATTTCGGCCACACAAACAACACTGCATTATCATAGTCTTCGCACTTAACTCAAACAGGCACCCTACTCACCATTTAAACTCCTACATAACCATTCCATACGCATGACAAGTTCGTGCCAATTAAAACTTCACTTGTAGCAAGTGCTTTCTAACATTTGATACAAGGCCACAACACCGTAATCACACATGCAGCAGATTGCAGCAACAACGGGCGGGATATGTCAACAGATGGGCGAGGATTTGAGATGCAAAACCAAAACAACAGTAAAGACGGTTAGAAAAAAGACAAGGGCTTTTTCTTTCCCTAGTAAACTCACCCGCTTCTCAGCATCGCTGAGTGAATTCCGATTGTTCTGGAAATCATGCGGGACCACCACATTGGTGAGACGGCACAATACAGCTGGGTGTGAATGATTAGCAAGAGAACAGCAACAAAGCAACACACCTATTGAAACATTCCGTTTTCCTATTATATTACGCATATTTACCACATAAATTTATGGAGTATATGCATGTTTCATAAACATTCCGTCAAACTACCAACCAATTTTGCAGATAACATATGCAATATTCCAAGTGCAAACGGAATGTTTCAAGAGGTACAGCAGACCCTCATTGGAGCAAATGAAAAAATGACATGAGTTCTATGCAAATAGTACCCTAACTAAGCTTGTCATTTATCTGTCCCTTTTCCTCCCCCACCTCACAACTCGGGGCCTATTTCGTATATATCCTGTAATGCTGCAGAAGGTACACAAGAAGTTCAGTTCTCAAAGTCAAAGTACACATTTCCGCGAACACTGTGGTTCAATCTTGAGTTATGAATGATAGCACGAGCCAAACCCACTACATTAGATCTCACATATGCTGTCAAAATCCATGATGTAATGTCTAATGCGAAAGTTTTACGGTGACGTCACCACCTGCCTTTTTCCTTTTTGGGCAATTCCTCGCTTACCAAACGTCTTTTCATGGCAAGCGTGGGGATATGGGAATTGGCGAAAGAGTAGCTAACCAATATGAACACAATTGTTTCTCTTTTTAGGTTCCCTTTAGCACTCTGTATTGAAATGTGCATAGGCATTAGAAATTAAAACTACTAATTTACGTATACATATGATTCTTACCGGTGATCCTGGAGCCGAGTTAGCGAAGCCTACAAGGCGTAAGAAAGTGAACAAACTATGCCGTTTGCCCTTAAAAATTCACATGCTTTTTCAGCCAAACATGGTTTGAAATAGACAAAAGAACTTCTTGTGCACCAAAGCATGTCAGGTTTCTTGGTATGTGATTATTTTGCAATTACCGAAATTAATTACCAAGCAAACTAATCGCTCTGAGCTTGCACTAATTAGGGTCTGTTAAGAAGGGGGCTGACACCCCTTCGGTGGCACACTCACCATCAAAACTAGAGCTACAGCATTAGAGAAATTCAACAGATAAGGTGGGTACTGCGTAAAATGGTATTACAGCACACTTTTTTTTTTTTTTTTCGTTTAGCACATTGAACCACCCTCTTAAGGCACATGGCAAGGCACAGTTTGACAACCTACCAACAGGCAGGCACATCCTACAGGGTTCACGGACATTGGGAAGGGGATAAGACGAGGGAGACTTTATATCTGGGTAGTCATTTCGGAACGATCCAGCAGAGCTACCAAGTTCCAAAAACAGAGCGAGTAAATGACACTGTGACATCCGTAGACAGCTTCACCAATAATGCCAAAGCAGGAGTATCTATCCAACAGAGGGTTATTCTCACAACAAAGCTCCAAAGCTGTTTTTGACCATCTTCCATGCACAACCATAGCGCTCCCAAGTGACCACCCAAATATGCCATTAAAACAGGTCAGTCTGCCAAATTTCTCTGTGAAAGACTACAAACAAGAAGCATAGGCCAATTGAAAACATTACAAACTCCCCATTATTTATAAGCATTCTGCGGAACCATTGTAGCCCAATCATGGTGCAAGTGTGCAAATGCCAATCTGAATCCGGCTTGGCGTGAAGTTTTTAGGTATACATGGCATTGCAGTTATTGTTACATTTCAAGTAAACTTGGCAGATTGAAAAATACAAGCAAAGCAGACAACAAAGGTGATGTCAACCAATGCTTATCAGGGGAAGCAAACATCAGTTGAGAACACCAACTGGAAGCACAGCGCACGCAAGGGTCACACAAACTTTTAAGAGCTTCAGCACTGCATATGTAGAGTCTGTAATGCAATCGTGTGCATAAGAACTTCCAATGTCACAAGGCACGCAAGCAAAGTTCTGCACACATCTTCTATGAAAAAACATTGAACTTCTTACTTATGCAGTACTGAAACTGGCTATTAAATTACATGAAACCAAAAACAAAAGCTCAACTAGTGCAGTGTCACTCAATTAAAGAATATTGCACAGAATTCAGTGCTTCAGATTTGATGTGGTTAACCTAAATCAACAAAGTTCACATTTACAAACTGTACAGAGAGGATATTTCATCTAGGTTACCACTTTAGAACAACTGTATGATATCACGAAGCACCGTTCTGAAGCCTGCGAACGAATTCCCATTGAAAAAATGTCCAAATTTTGTAACTTCTCGAACTAATAAATCCCTACATACCACTACTTCGTCAGGAGAACTGCAGCAGAATCCTGCAAAATAGCTAGAATTTCATGCGAACTAAATTCACATAAGTGTCAAATTTACCAGCTTATCCAATTGCAAATGCAGTTCACAGAAGTGGGATACCTTTTTACGATATGATTAGAGCATTGTAAGCATTGCCATTCTGTATGTATAACATTGCGCATACAAGAGCCCCACAAAAAACGAATGACAAAATACACAAGTCTCCTTGTGTTTTGCCCTGTTTCTTTGGAATGTGCCCCTTTAAGTGCAACGTTGGAACACACTACAATGACATAAGAACAGGCCGAGCTAGCACCCTTACAGCCCAGCAGCTTTTAAAAGTTGACAGTTCTCACCAACTTCTTTAAGATGTATCAGGGCCTAAACGAAAATTACGCTTCCCAACACCAGCAAGATTCGGCCTTTTCTTACGAGACAAATTTCCTTCCAATTGACTAGGTGGCTTTTTAGCAAGAACACTTCTGCATTCTAAGCCTGCAACTAGCAGCAAAAGTTTACACGACATGTACTTTAATGAAAATGTTAATTTCCACCCCGTTACTGCATGGCTCTTCAGATCTTGTGGTTAACTGCACAGGTTTGTAAGAATTGCAATAGGCATTAAAATTTATTTGGAAGAAGTCTTGCAAGACAACACGAGAACATGGCTTTCAAACTTTTGCAGCGTGCCTATACTATAACGAGAAATATGACATACCACCTCAATACCTCCAGGTTATCACACTTGGTGCTACACATCTTATGGTCCTGACGTATTTCTATATAGCCAATGAAAGCGTTTAAAAACGCTTTCCTAGATAGTGATGTTAAAAGGTTCCAACAAAACAGCACACAATACAGAAGGATGCAGGACAAATTCTATTGCGTATTTTGAAATAGTATTCCGCATTTCCAAATATCATTATATGTTCTGTGGTACGGTATTAGTCCGCCGGAGTGTGTACTTATATCCGACTTTTTCGAATCGGCAGTATTCCCGCCACCCATCAGGAAACCAAGCCCCAATGTATATGTGGTGCTCACCAACTGTGCCTTCTCGAGTTGACGCCTCGTTGTCTCAAGCTCGTCCTCCGTCCGAGACAGCTTGCCTTTCAGTTTATTGTAGTCCTCCTTCAGTTCAGTGTAGAGCTGGATCATGCGAGAAAAAAAACACAACACACACACAGACATGGAAACAGAGTCTCTGTAGTGTTTGAAAACCATGAGTACAGCTCAAGCTGCAGTAGTGTTAAATAAGAAAACATGCTTCCATATTCATAAAATCGCATATTAAAATCCGAGTTGCACATGAGTGTACATTTGTAAGCAGAGCAATGAGGATATCTGCAGACCTATGAGGCAAGTAAAGAACTTGACGGGGACAAATATGCATTTTATATATGGTTAACTTTAGGAGCTGGTAAACTATTAGAGTTGTCGTGAAATGTTTTATAAAAATTTTCAAATGTGTGTTTTCTGAATTCTAGCCATCAATTCAATGCTATAGCTCAACTAGTTTCATCGTCTGGGTTCATTTAATGGCTAAAGAGTACAATTTCGATTCCCCAATCACATTTCCCTCAAGTGTACAGCCGATGTCACTTTGAATCAGTCAATGAAGACTCTGTCGTCGACAGAACATGGCAATGCAGTCATGTTTGCTGAGCTGCAGTTTACAGAGATACCATCTAGATTGAGGCACTATAAATCCGCCATGAACATTGAGGCACTATAAATCCGCCATGAACATTGTTTCCACTTTGTTAAGCTGTGGAGCACTGTCTCAATACGCCACTCCAGACACGCTGTAAAACTCAACCTAATGTGCCCAATAAGAAAAACACTGGGATGCTGTACCAGGCAAACAAAGGCAACAAATAACAAAGCCTGGATTTACTCAAAAGCGGAACCAAGTTTATCACTTGGAGTACTTCCACAGTATGCACACCTCAGAGTGCAAAAATTGCCGTTTTCTTCTTTTTCTTTCCTAGGTTCCTCCTATAAATCTATCATTTTGGAGCAAAAGAAAGCTAACTTCTGTTTATAACTTCTTTTACCATGACATTTCACTAACGTAACATTTTAGTGCCTATGGCGGCCTGCAGGGCCGCACAGTTGTTTAGGAGCTCAAGAAAAATGGGATTTCACACCGGCGTCATTAATTATAGCCTAAATATTGTGCTGAAATATGTCCAAATCGGCATGTCTAATCCTTTTTGAAGCAGAGAAAATTACAACCCAACAGCTTTTCATTCTCGTTTCAAAAATCCTTTATAGCAGATACTCATACACATTTTTATAGGTGCGAAAAAACTCCACTGTGCTGGGTTGCGCGTGGGTGTACAAAGGCTATAGTCACAGTTTCCGCACTGCATTTTGGGGGGGGTCGCGCATATTTGCACAGCTCAGTAAGGAATATGGCGGCCCCCAGAAAGCCGTTTTCCAAAGGACTGTAACAAGCAACATACAGTTTTTAGGCCACCTTGGCTTTTTCAGTGACACTGCTGTTATCAACTTTTCCGGCAAGAGGAACTTGCCCGATGAAACTTTTTTGACACTGAAACATGTCCAACATTCTTTGCCAATCAAACATTTCAAGAATACGATCAAGGACTGAAAGGCAGAACTTTTACATTAACATTATTTCTTCTCCAGAAAACCTGAAAAACCTCCAATGTGTCAGATAGAAAGTTGTAGAGAGATGTATGTATGTATGTAGTACATTGATGCCAGAATTGAATTTGGTTTACCAAACAATAGGCACGAAGGTATGCAAAGCTGGAATATATGGAAAATTATATGGAAAATATATGGAAGCTGGAAAACTACTCAACTGGGAACAGGTGTCTGTTGCCCAACAGTGGCTGTAAAAAGTTCCGAGTTATTGAACAGAATAAGGTAACATGCTTGTAAAATTTGACATAGCAGGGTCAAGTTGATGAAAATAAACAGGGAATGAAAGATAAATGCTTGTCCCACGTACAGCCTTTTTATATCATGCTGTAATTTTTCTTTTTACGTCCCAAGTCATGTCGCGACATCCCCATTTCCGTACTCCTCTTAGAACAGCCATGCTTCCTGTTTGCACTTTGCGAGTCACACGATCAATTGCCTGAACCTGGTTGGTTGGCCCAGCAGTTGTCCAGCACGTACCTTTTTGTAGTCGAGCTCGTCATCGTCCTGAAGGCTGGCTGCACTGCCACTGAGCCGCGACTCTGTCTCGGACTTGGTGCTATCTGCTAGGGAGCCCGCGGACCCACTGCGACCCCGGACCGTGTCTGGAGTGCTCTGCACGAAGATTCCCATGGAGCAATCAGACTACAGTCCAGAGCTTGTTCTCGGCTCCGTACCCATTCCCTCTAATCACAGATGCACCTTTTAGGGCCGCTTGTGGCAGTCTCTCAGAGGTGTCTTTCGTTTCACAATAATTTTATCATGCTTGTGTGTTGTTTTTTTTAACTCTGTGCTCCCCTCTCTTTAACCGTAAATTACACCAGATTGCTACCATGCGAAATCAAAGCAAGAAAAGATACACAAGACTGATGAAGATTATTGCCAAGTGGCGAAAATTCACCCAATAGAGTACAATTGATTTGGAGGTGTTGAACAATGGATGTAGTTATGATAATGCAAGACAACTGCAGCTCATTGAACCATAATTTTCTTGTGTAAATGTCCGTTTTTTATAAAGTGGATTGGCCATAAAGCAGCAAATTCGTGTTACTGGCCCTCCAGTGACACAAGCTGACATCGTCTAGCATGCTACCTAATGGCATGTTCGTGGTAGTAAAAATAACGTTTCTTGACTGTATTTTTTGGTAAAACACCAGATGGTGGGGTAGTGCACACTGACAGCACAACACTGGGAAAAGGTATAATGTTAGCTACCAGTTGAACAACCACATTCCATCTTGTTATTAGCTAATCGAAGTGGACGATTGGGCCAGTTGGTGATACATGATTTAAGAATACTACGCGGCAGAAAACACGGACGGGAAAAGGACAAGGAAAAGTGCAGACTATCAACTGAAGGTTTATTTATCCCGCACTGCATTTGTATATCACAACCAGGAAAAAAAAGAAAAGGAAGTTAGCGTTTGAACAAGCGACAAACTTCATACACACAAAGCACGACGCAGATTACCCGATTCATTAACAGATGTGCCATTTCCTAGATAATAGAGCTCTTTATCTAGGAGGGCGACCTACGGTTTGCTTACGCAGTTGTCAGGTTTGCGAGCCATTCTCTCTGCTTTAATAATCATGCGAATGTGATTATCTGTATTTTCAAACTGCGCATGACAACCACAGCTGCTGACATGCCAAGCCAAGAAGCCTTGATTGCCATTGCATACATTACGTACGTGTTCACGCAGCTGCTCACCGAGGCACCTCCCAGTCTGCCCGATGTGGCATGCACCACATGACAGCGAAATCCTGTATACTACATTCGTGACACATCAAACAAACTAGGATTTGTGCCCAACATTGCAGGAGTGTTTAGGCTTAGTGTTTGCACATGTCAGTTAGGCAAGCTGGGAAACTTTACGAGGTGCAGAAAAAACAACATGCACTCCTATGCATTGGCCGAACTTTTTCATTCGGTGTGTTAGCTGGTGCATTTCAACACATTTTACATTAGAAATTCCCGCCTGAGATACGTGCGAGTACTGTGCTTCGATATGCATTATTGCTCACGTTGCATGACCTCAGTTGTTCTGGATTGCAAAGTTTCAGCATGAACTAAACAAAAAATAATAAACCAATTTCGGTTTGACTCCAGAACGAAATGGTGGATAATGTTTCAGTCAAGTTTTTGTTTAGATAACTTTTTGTCATTCTCTTTTGGTTTTCCTTCTGTTTCGATACACTAATCGTCACCTGCGACTCTCACGTTGAGACATGCACCACTGTCTACACAAGAGATTGTAACAAGTGCCTTATTAAAGAAGAGAAGGAGGAAGAAGTAACCCTTCGTAGAGGAAGCACCAAGATTTGATGCTGAAGAAGAAAGAGCTGATGTACTTGAAAAAGCGAAGTCCTATACTTCCCAGCAGGGTGTAGTCCCAGATGTGTATGACAGCTAGGTCACAGCCACTAAATTCATAAACACCGAAGTCTGTAGTGCAAGCATGCGATTGCTATATTTTTCACAACAAAAAATGTGTGTAGAAATCACCAAATAACAGCCCTGAAAATAAACAGTTCAAATTTCATTCCAACCACTGATGTTTTTTTTTTAGCTTCTGACAAAGAGTTGCAAGATATCTATTTCAGTTCTGCGAACTTTCACTTTAAGGAACTTTTTTTCTGGGAGCCCCTGAAGTTCGTTCAAGTGGCTATACATGGCTATGACGTGCTTCCACTTCGTCCTGCGCAGTTTTGAGCAGTCGCCCGCCGCGGCTGGAACTCAAACCTAATAGCTCCGACGTTTCACAGATATGAACAAAGGCACTCACGTATAATGTGGCAAGGCCTCCGGCGGCTCTGGTGGCACCGACGTGGCTGCGCGACAAGGTCGGGCTTCGCGACGGCGACATTCGGGCGCCCGCAGCCGTGTAGGCGCTCAGGCCGCCCCGAAGCGGGCTCCGCGGCCGGTCAACGCTGTACGAGGCGGGCGAAGGCGACAGCGAGCGGCTCAGCGCCGACGGCGCGGCCAGCGAGCTATACGGCGTGCCCAGGCCAGAGGAGTAGCCGCCGTAGCGGCTACCCCCTCCGCCGCCGCCAAAGAAACCGTACGACATGACGACGCAGAAGTACCGACCGCCAGGCCGACCCAGACGGCCGCGACAACTTGCAGGGGAGAACCGAGAACCGTGGTAGCCAGGGAACGGGTGTTGACCGGACGTCGACCAGCAGCACTGTCCTGGTCCGACTGGGCGAAGTGCCGGCCAGCCGAACCGCGCAGGTCCGCCCGGAGAGAAAGAATTCCACCTCGAGCGGCGATCGGAACGAACCGGAGGCCGCTGCCTGCCCCGCCACACCGGGAGAACGCGGTCTATCCCGATGGCTTATGCCCCGGCCACGCGTCTACTCCGACACGCGAAAATCGGCATTCACCGCGCGCTGAGATAACCACGAAAAGAATGTCTGCGTGACGCAGGCTTGAGACCACCAACCACAACCGGAATCCTACCAGGAGACCCCGATGGTCTACTGTCCCATGACTCAACTTTTCCAACGAACTAAGATCAGCTTCCACCGTGCGCTCGGATAACAACAAAGTAAGTGTCTACGTCACTAAAGCTTGCGCATTAATCCCGAACTTTCTAAGCAGGGCTCCACAGGTACGTACCAAACCGCGACCCGCCTAGAAGTGGGGAGACAAAAAGTAAACTTCGAACCGGCGTCCCGCAGAATAAGACACCGCCTTCCCTCCTCCGCTGGTTTAAAAGAGAGGCGCAAGGACATCGGTGACTATTTTTAACCGGCGAAAGAAAAGCAGACAGAGCCGTCACCGGCAAAAGTGAGAGCAGAAGTAGCGAAGCCGAAGCAGCGTGTTCGACAGGTGACGCGCGAAAACCTTACGCAGCTAAACAAACGTACAAGGTGTGTACGCACCTCTTGATAGTTCTTTCAGATGCCTGGTTTTAGGCAACAGGTAAGAAACAATAAAACGAACCGTGTTTGCTTTGGCGACTGACAACCGCTGTCACAAGAGGTAAACAGCCGCATCAAAACGCGAACCGACGGGCAAGCTGCTCAGCGCGTCGCTTCGTTGATGTCGACGCCGAAGGGCGATAAACCGGTACCACTTTTGACGGATGCACACGTTAAAGATACATCCACGCACACAATGTCAGCTCGGCAGCGCACTTAACGGCTTCATCCAACGGGCCACTTAAATCCGTTACGTCAGCAGATGGTACGCTTTCCTGCAGACGACCATCCGCGCGCCGATCGAGCAGGACGATACACCAGTGCACACACCGACAGATTTTGCAGCACAGCTCACAAACGACGTCACCGAAGAAGCAGACGGCACACACTGCCAGGCCCGCAGCGCAGCAAACTAACAAATGACGTCACCTAAGTCCGTTACGTCAGCAGATGGTACGCTTTCCGGTAGAGGGCCAGCGGATAGACGCGCACTGAAGAAGCAGACGATGAGAACGGAAGACTAGACGTACACGAGCACCGAGAACACAAACGATGCCAAGTATGCAGCACACTAAAAAACGACGTAACCAAACGGACCACGCAAGTCTGTTAAGTCAGGAGAAGGCGCGTTTTCCAGTAGACGGCCGTAGGGTAGATGCACACCGAAAAAGCGGACGATGCCAGGGAGCAGATTGTAAAGCACGCACGATCTCCACCACTGCCGCCTTCCGCGGTCTCTGAAGGGTAGAACTCGCAAGAACCCGCAATTTTCGGAGGAAGTGGAAGGTCGACCTTGAACGCTTTCAAAGCCGCCGGTACACACACAACGGTTCGCGCTGTAGCGGTCACCCGGATCGCAACGAGCACGATGAAGCGCGCCCTTCTTGCAGTTATATCCTAGAAACCCGCAACAATGAAAGAAAAGAAGAAACCGGGCCGGCGTGATTGTGCAGCCAGCCTGCCGCACTTGCTCTTTTTTTTTCTTCGAAGCCGTTCACGCAGAACCACGCGATGCCTCGGCAGCAAACGCCGACCGAGTACGCATCCACGGACGCCCAAAACAAACGCCCTGCGAGTGGAACTGTCGTCGAAAAAACGCAAATATATGCGGCCGGTGACTGCACTGATATTACCGCCAAGTCGTTAGACAAGAAGGCCGGTAGACGACGAGGGAACGAAACAGTGTGTCACAACGGCCACTTTCTTCACTCCGCGCCTAAGGGACAATGCCGCTCTGTTAAGAAGGTCGCGAGGCTCTGGTGTCCCACACCTTGTACGTTGCACAGGACCCACAAGCACGAGTTGAGAGAAACACCACTGAAAAACTTTCTCGCTTGAAACACACGTGTAGCGGACGACACAACGAAGGTCCTTGGTAAAGATGGACGAAGTTGGTTCAGCAGACGACGAGAAGGCCTAGGGGAAGGAGGCGGTTTCTTGCGTCACGGATGCGAAACGAAACCAGAACCTTCTCAAAGAATCGTGCCGCGCGATTTCTCACGGACACATTTCTTTGCACGCGCACAATGAAAAGGTACGCACACGGCCGTGACTTCACCTCGAAAAAAAAAAATCCAAGGCGCGCGAGGCGCGAAAAATTTTCCCGCGCTGCAGCAGACGACGAAGAGGAAAGTGCAGTGGAAAACCGCGCTAGTAGACGTCTTACCTCTGGCGACGACCGCGCGAAA